TGTCAGGCTTCCTATTCCTGATGTGTTAGAAATCAGATTCATTATGCCTTTTTTCCTTTCGCAAGTCGTTCTTAAGATTTTAATGTGTCTTTATATTTAACCTGACAGAGAACATGTTCTTTTCTTATTTCCTGATTTGGACATGACTTTAGTGCTTTGAATGGTGTCGTCTTTCTTACAATACTGGTCTTTTACCAAGCTGCTTAACCATGACAAGATTTCCTGGTCCTCTCAAAGACTTTTTTTTGGATGGATGGATAGTTCTGAATTTCCAGTAGGGTGCTTGAAAATATTTCACCTTTTCAGTTAACACTTCTAGTTTATGCATTGGTTTATAATAATCTGCTATTTTGTGTCATTTGTGTCTCCAAGTTTCTGATAGGCTATTATATCAAATCTTGCTAAACCCCCAACTTTCTAGTTCTTGTATCTTTTTTTCTTTTTTTTTGTTTGTTTAAGTGGCAATATTTGTTTAGAAGTATATATGTTTGGCTTGGCCTCACATATATATATATTGGCCTAATATTTCTGTGCCCTGTTTAAACAATCTGTTTTTCAGATTACATTTCAGCATTTCTTACTCGAATTTTGTCCACTGCTCCTGCCCAAAGATTTTACTTGATGGTGCAAAATCTGCATTGCTTCACCTAAAGGATATATCAGTTTAAGCCATAATTAAGCCATAATTATCAGTGTGAATGTCTCTCTCACTTAAGTTGTTATGTTCTTATGTATGTTTATTTTTGTATACTCTAATGCCTTTTTTTGAAAAAGTGTGTGGCCATATAAAATTAGCATACGTTGTATGTTAATATTGCATTACCTTAGCATTACTCTTTGCTGTTTATTATTTAACTATTTAACTTTATTTTTTATAATGCAGCATGGGGTTAAAATGTTTACCTGCAAGTTTTATCTGATAGATATAATAAACTGGTTTGCGTGCATGTTTTTCTAGGAATAATGTCTTCTGTAGCAATTGCACAAGAAAACATACATTTCGTAATTGGTATAACTGGCTACTAAATGTTTTGTTCCCAGAGAAAGATTTGTTGGGTGAGAATGATTAATCAAATTCATTCAGTTTTCAAGTTCAGCTTTCATTTGTCTTGAGTCTAGTCATCTTCCAATGTTGCACTAGCACATTTTACAAAGCAGAACATTTTGATAAGCTATTCATGTAGGTCTGTTTTACATAGAAAATGTAGCAGTGCTTCACATAATAGTGTTTGTCCTGTTGCGTGTAGAATTCTACACTAATAAATTGTTTTTTCAGATCTACTTGAATTATTGATCCTGTGGGCTAAGCTTTTGATGTTATAAACTAAACCCCATCGTAGATAAACTATATCTGCTTTTTGCATTGGCATATTAAAGCTTGTAGTTGTTAAGCATTAATGCATGCAAAGTTGTTGGGGTTTGGTGTGTCATAGCCCTACATCCCACCCCAAACCTCTGGGTAATAACTCCAAGAAAGGAGTTGTTGTTAGTGTCACAGCTAAACCATTTCATCCTGAAGTATCTTATTAGGCTTTTAGCTCTTTCAAGCAAGCCTGAAGAGCAATGTTACTAAATAGGACTATAGAAATTTTACTTGGAATTCATATTTTGCTTAGTGGAATGGAGTAAAATACAATTGTAGTTATTTTGAACAGTCTCTGGTGTTGACATTAGGTGACTTACTGGCTATTCACTGATTATTTTTTTTATTTTTTATTTTTCTGTAGAATTTCAGTGTTTGTGTACATGTTCAGTATTTTGCAGACACAATTAAACTTACCCAACTTATTATTTTGGGCATGAGTGGGAAACAAGAATGCACAACTAAGAATTTGAAGTAAATGATTTATAGATAAAATTGCAAATTTTTCTACTCAGAATCAAAACCAAATCTTTTTTACATTTTCCTTTATTTTTGCAAAGAACCAGCAACAGGAACATTGGGGTGTTTTTTATGCCTCATAAAATAAGACTTTCTTGGAAATGCATGGATCAAAGTATGACACTACTCCTTACAGAAAAATTAACTTGTCTATTGTAAAGTGTGTATCTCTAAAAATACTTTATATCCAATGATGATGCCCACACTTTACAATGCATTCTTTCAATTTCTTTTCTCTAGAACATTTTACTATGAGACTGGGTTCTTTATCTACATCATGTTTTTATGATTTACTGCCAATGTTGTTGTAATGCAGTCATCAGCTTTTATCATCTTAGAGGCAATAGATGATGATGTCTCCACTGAAATAGCCAACACTTCAAATATTCCTAATAAATTTTTAACAAGACGCTATTCTTCTATGCCTTGCCTCTCAAATCTGGCACATTATTTTTTGTTATTTGGCTATTCGTTTTTGTGAATATGGAGAAAATATTCAGTTGTACATTTAAATCACACTACACAGTAAATCTTTTTTTTTTAAAGACACTTCAAACATGACAGAGAAATACTTCTAAATGACTGTCTTCTTTTAGATCATAGTCATAATAATGTTTTGTTCTGAAGTATCTTCCTCCAAGTATAGGCATAGGGGTCTAGTATCCTAGTACTGTATAAAGTCATTACAGAAAGGGTCACTGCTCTGAAGATTTTAAATTATAAGTAACTTATGAAGTAGCTTGTTTCAAAAATATTCATGTAGAAAAAAGATGAGCACTTTACTTTATGGTAAGTGATGTGTATAGAACTCTCT